AATAGAGAGAGAGAGAGAGAGAGAGAGAGAGAGAGAGAGAATTCAGGTGAATTCAGGCGCTCGTCAAAATAATGAACTTGGAGAAACATTTTGTCCTCTCGTTGGGAAACGTTTATTGATTTTTTGTTTTGTTTGAAGATCAACATATTATGTGTCTTTTTAAAATCACAAAAACAAATTTGTGTGAGTTTTTCTGAATTCTGCACACGTCATTTTGAAAAAAAAGAAGTTTCCAAGGAAATTACATTTTTGGAAATCGACAAACTTTGGCGTCCGTTTAGTCGATAGCTTTACCTTTTGACACCAGGAGACCTCTTCTCCTTCGATTGCAAAATATTTTGACCTCTATTCAAGGTACCTGAGTATATTATTACATTGTTTATTTCATCAAATGTAAGGAAAATGAACAGGCTTCAGGATTGTACTAATGACTCTATATATGCCATCCAAAATTGACGAGCGCTTGATTCCGCCTTGCAGTGATGATAATAATAATAATAATAATAATAATAACAATAATAATAATAATTGCATTTATATAGCGCATATCCATGCTCAAGAGCATGCTCTATGCGCTTTACAACTATAATTACCCCAGCAGACCCTCTGAGAACACTCGAAACATTCTCGGCTTCTGCGGAAGCATACAGTGCAAGCTGCGGATTTCACGCGCTCAAACACTATCAAACTGACAAGATCGTTCACTGTTTATAGCCGGGTACCCATTTCTACCTGAGTGAAGTGAGGAAAATTTGAGCAAAGTGCTTTTCCCAACGACACAACGTCGGGCCCCTGACGGGATTCGAACCCACGACCTTACGGTTGCAAGTCCGAGAGCCTAACCACTAGGCCTCCAATGCCACGGTGATACTTTTTGTGAAATGTGAGGCGGTGTGGTGGAATCAGGCTCTGGTAAAATTTTGAAATCGAAGAAAACAGCAGTTTTCTCCCTGCTTAGCAATTTTTATCAATTTTTTGTTTCTTGACACAACACCTTTTATGTCCATTTACAAACACATTCCTTGGAGGATTTAATCGAAAACGTTGAATAAAGGCACACAAATATAAATTTACAGTTTCCATGGACTCTCCAGCTTTGGAATTTACCTAGCTTTCGCAGCCATTTTCTCGCTAATTTTTCCTCTTAAACCAGGTGACCCCCACCTCCTTCAATCCAACATATCTCCACTTCTATTGAAGGTGGATGGGTAATTCTTTCATTGAAAGCAATACAAATGAACAAGCTTTAAGATGATACCAATAACTCTACATGCCCCAAAAATGACGAGAGCCTGATTCCACCACGCTGCCTCACAAATGTTTCCTCTACTTTGGACACAAATTCACAGACTAAAGAGTGAGTCCATACCTTAATCTTGCAAGCAGCTTGGTAGCTGTTTCTGTCTGTGACGGAATACATGAGAACCACTCCGTCGGTCCACTTAATGTGCTTCTCTGATGTCTCCTCCGGCATCTGGGGGGTAAAAAAAATAATATTCATTCATGACTTTGTTTTCAACATGGTGCAATGTTTTATGATATTTTCCCCCTAAAATGTCACTCTAGGATTTAACTACTTTTAAGCTTTACAATTTTCAAATTATGCCAAAACTAACGCAATTTCTTCAAATTCTAAGCAAGCCTTTAACCACCTTAAATTCTTTAAAGTTTACACTAGGCTATAATACCTTAAACTTTTCAAATTTCACTCTAGGCTTTAACTTCTTTAAGGTCTTCAGATTTCTTACTACGCCGTACTTTACTTTCTCCGTCCTCTTGTGCCTCAAGGGCGTCGAGGGGAGAAAGAGCTTCCTGTCTCTAGCACGTTTGATGACCTGGCTGGGTGGGATATTGTATGTTCTCAGGGTATCCTTCACACCACGGATCCAGGTCTTTCTTGGGTCTTCCTCTTGCCTTGTACCCTAATACTTTTCTGTAGTAAGCTTTACTGGCGAGCTGGTGAGGTGCCATACGTGCGAGATGTCCAAACCACCTAATTGTTTCCCTACGCTATGACTACCTTAAACTTTTAAAAGTTCCCACTCCTTTATAACTAATTTAGACGTTCTAATTTTCCCACTAGGCTACAATTATTTTTAACTTTTAAATCTTCCCGCTAGGCAATAACTACCTTAAACTGTTTACATTTCACACTAGGCTTTAGTTAACTGATAAGATTAAGACGACTCACGTCAAAAGCCGTGTCCAGAATGTCCAGAGTGATGTCAGAGGCCACCAGTTTGTGGTTGTACATCATCTCTGCAACAAACCAACAAAGAAAAACAATTACCAAGAGAATTCATTTATTTTTATTCTTTTCACCTTGACGCCTCCATTGACACAATTTAGGCTATTTGGGAAGCAGGCTGCTTCGGCCATGCCTATCTTTCTTTCATTCATTCACAGAAGAAGAAGAAGAAGAAGAAGAAGAAGAAGAAGAAGAAGAAGAAGAAGAAGAAGAAGAAGAAGAAGAAGAAGAAGAAGAAGAAGAAGAAGAAGAAGAAGAAGAAGAAGAAGAAGAAGAAGAAGAAGAAGAAGAAGAAGAAGAAGAAGAAGAAGAAGAAGAAGAAGAAGAAAAAGAAGAAAGAAGAAGAAGAAGAACAACAACAACAACAACAACAACAACAACAACAACAACAACAACAACAACAACAACGACAACAACAACAACAAGACAAACAAATTCACAAACACGCGATGAGACAGAGCACACAACAGTGTTTCCAGAAGTCAGTCAAAGAGTACGTTAAAACGTAATGAGGTCAGCTCGCTCATTTTTACTTTTTATCCCACCCATCCAATTGACATACCCGGGGCAACGCCTACCTTCCAGTATCTCCAAGACCTACAGCAGAGACTCGCTTTAATTGAAGGTCATTTTGTTTACTTTTATGGAAGGAATTTCTTCTCTGTTGATACATACGGATACTACGTTTGAAAAAGAAATAAAATGCTTCGCCTCGTTGTCCTTGAATCTGCAGAAGGTCGTTTTGAATCTATGTCTAAGAGACAGATGAAGTTATAACGGCACATTTTGTTTTGTTATTTGAAAGTCACGAATCTATGGTTTTGATTAATTATAGAACTTTCTAGTGGGTGGTTGGCGGGTGCTCTGGTGTTGTTTGCTCCTTCTTTCCTACAAAAAATTCCATCTTCTTTATCTCCCCTCCTTCTATTTTGTGTTTGTTACTCTCCGGTAACACCTCTAATATTCGGCACTTATATGACCTAATTGTGTTGCAAGTGTCGTAAAACTCTTACTTATAACTGAACTTTTCAAAAACGGTACAGAGGATTTTTCTGCTATCTCGATGATAAGATTTTATCTACGGACGATAATGTTTTCGTGTTTTCGTGAAACGTATGCGCTTTATGCCAACAAATTCTAGCTTTGAACTTGATCACTCGTTCCCTCTGCTAAATCAGGCACTTTGTAAACGCTTCTGGCAATTTTCGTTGGCTTTGTAGAAGGATATCATAGTGCTTATCGGCGATGCGTTGGGTACATTTGTTAACAAGTTTTGGTGGAAAAAATCCAGGTAGATGTAATTTGTCTTTTACAAATTCGGCTTGGAAAAAAATTAACATGGACTTTTTCAGGGTGGTACTTGTAAATCAAACATTTTTTTCTTTCCTTTTGCAAATTGTTTCTGTCTGTCTGTGATATCCTTTCTTTGAACCAAGAACAAATCGTTATTAAGTCGAGGTGTTTTCTATATTTTCAAAAAAGAGAAATCTAAATTCGGCGATCACTCAGTGTACACTATATTATATCTAATTTGACCAAAGTTGCACTTTATACGTCCCACCACAGATTTCTGTTCGAGCACGCCTCTATAATATCCCATAATTTGCTTATTCTCAATAACTAACCTTCTCCTCACCTCCTCAGGCGTATGTCTTTTGGTGCTTCTCTTTGCTTTGCGCTTTCGCTCATGGTTTCGTAATGTTTTCATTTTTGTTCTAAACCGCTGAAACAATCAAAGGTGTTACATATTAAATCATGCTGCCACTTAGAAGTATAAAGCGTCTTTGATAAGAAAACATCCGTAGAGATAGTTGTTGCAATGGCTATGCACCGAAACGGCTTCGAATGTGCTTTCATGCTTAATGGAGAAGCTAAAAACACCCATGATTCGTGATTATTTTAGACTTTGAGCAACTTATCTATACGTTTTGATAAAAATGTACATTCCCATTTCATTTTCCTAATTTTTCCCCTTGTACAATTTCTAATTCTGATGTTGTGTAATTTTTTTACCCTGTGCTAAATGAACTCGTCAGCACTCAAATGTAATATCGTCTCGTACTGATAATAACGATTTATTATCAAATAATTGCTATAACATCTATTCACTGTTCGTGTATCTTTCAATTTTCAATCTACATGTCTCTAGCTCAGAATTACAAAATTCTATCTGACATTTTTGGCCGTTTAGGGTTACAAAGATCATGACCAGTTCAGAAACTAATAAATATCTGCTCTATCAAAATTATAGTAAATCTATTCGGAGTCATTATCAAGATATTATTCAAATAATGCAATAAAAAACAACTGCTTAGCATATTGTGAAACTCTAAAAGTTTGACGTCAAATTTCTCAAAACTAGCTATTGTGCAGAAAGCAACATTGCATGTGAGCTTGTGTTCCAAATCCACGCAAGGCGTGACTGGCTCATTGTGAATGTCCTATTGCTCTATCGTCAATGGGGTTTTATTTTAAAAGACAATAGTATATCCACATTTAGACGAAATTTAGTGATATTTTTGAGCCAATTTAAAAAGTGTCCTCAAAATCTGGTGGCGCCCTCTTCGAAAAACCGCGGACTTTGTGAATAGAGTTACTCTATTGATAAATTTTGGAATCACTTGCAATGGTAGCAATCTGGGAAGGCAGCACATTATAAAACTAAATAAGTTGATAAAAAAGGCATCAAGAACAATTCGTAGAGACCTAAGTAACTTTGAATATCTGCACAAGACAAACGTTCTAAAAAAGGCGGAAATAATGCTTAGTGACCATAGCCACCCACTGACATCGGAATTTCAACTATCGACCCGCAGTAAACGGTACATTTCCAAAAAAAGCAAGAACAGACAGATATAGAAATTCATTCGTACCAACTGCAGTGAGGTTACTGAACACACAGTGCTACAAATGAAACAGAGAGAGAGAGAGAGAGAGAGAGAGAGAGAGAGAGAGAGAGAGAGAGAGAATGGATGTGTTACGGAGCGGGTTGTCCCAGCCCGTGAGACATGTACTTACTTGGCATAATGTCCTGTCTTGTTGTGCGTTTGCGTGAGTGCACCTTTAAGTCTAACTTTTGTAACGTCTACTGCCATTGTTAACGACCAAGACAAATTTCTCCCAGCGAGATGAATAAAGATTGTCATTGTCATTGTCATTGTCAATTGTACTTGTGTGAAAAACAATAAAAGCGAAACTAACAAACTGTGCTATTCCTATTCTTCCTCTGGAGAAATGAAAGACAGCTTCAAAACAAAGACTGCAGCGCCATCTGAACCAATGTGCGGACTACCAAAGGTCGTACATAACAAGACAGTTCACTCAGTCAAAAAAGTGTCCGCGGACGTTTCAGGTGGCGCTGCTGTCTTTGTTTTAAAGCTCTCTTTCGTTTCTCGAGAAGAATGTCAATAGGAATAGCACGGTTTGTTAGTTTCACTTTTATTGTTTTTCCCACAAGTAGGGTAACTCTGATCGCAAAGTCCGCACCGTTCCGAAGAGGGCGCCACCGTTTATTGATGACACTTTTTTAACTGGCTCAAAGTGAGGGGAGCACTATCTTGTTATGTACGATCTTTGGTCTTAGTCTGGAATCAATACCTTAATTAAAATAAATATGGCGGGGAAATATTTTGTAGATTTGCAAAGCAACAGGCTGTTTGGAGGCGAAGATGTGAGTTTCTTTCTTCTTTAAACTCTCCTGAACGGGTTTAAGAAACTAGATATACTGTCTTTTAAAATAAAACTCCGTAGTAGATCAAATTGGAGGCGGACTGCTTCGAATATATTGTTAGACTTGACTGGGCTAACTGTGACGTAGTGCGAGTGATCAATAAATGCAATCAGCAAAAGAGTAGACACTTGATAGATATATAATATAACAATATTTCCTGAGTTAGAATCAAAATTATGTCTTCTGTACGCCCTGGGCAGGTGTGATGTGGTGTATTGATCTATGGTGTTATGATCTAAGCATGTAACCAGGAAAAAAAAGTAAAGCACTTTCTTTTTGTTTGTTCTGAAACCATTGCTGAGGCCGATCTGCAGGTCATCAATGAAACTACGGGGGTCAGTTTTTTTGTATGAGTAAAGAAAAGCTAATTGCCACAAAAATGGTCCTTATACAAGAGCTGCAAAAAGTAAGACAGTCATAGAGAAACAACAGAGGGTAAGTAAAGAAGTACGACCTACCTGCAATGTCCCCTTCCACCA